TAAGTTTTTTTCTAGTATATTCTGCTAATATTTGTTTTATATGAATTGCTACTTCTTTGTTAGTTTTATTTATAAAGTTATTACGCATCTGAAAGTGGTTTACATTATAATATTCACTTTCTTGATCAAGCTCTTGATCATGCTCCTTTGTCCTTGATCTGCTTTTTGTTATATGCTGGAAGTAGTTTCATATGCAATATTTTAAGTTACAAGTGTTTTTGAGCTTTTAAATCTCTTTTACATTGCACAAGATCTTCAGATCTAATTTGTTTTTTACTAGAACAATTTAACTGCAATTGATACCAAACATTTTTTTACTCATTGCACTCATGTAATACAAACTTTGCTAATAGATACAACAATTTGAACCGGGGTAAATATTCTAAAACAAAAGTAATTCCTACATTACGTCTTGATTATTTGAACTTGCCGATCTACGCACTGCAACAGTGCGATGCCAATTCTTGTTTAACATTTAACATCGCATTATTAACTGTTAAATGAAATGTTAATACGTATTTTCCTATGAAAATATCACAATAACTTAAACACAAAATAGTAAGTATAACAATAATTTTGGTAAGTTATTTCTTTATAATGTCAAATATTTTTTAGTAGTCTAGACTCTTTCATTTTGGATATTGTAACTACGTAAATCTATACAATAATAGCCTTAACATTCCATTTTTTAATATTTAACATTACAAAAACCCCTATGACATCTTAATATCGATATCGACGGGCGTACCGAATAATTGATTGTGGAGATAATTGCTTGAGCTCAATTAACTAATTGGTGGCGCAGCAGCAATTATCCAATTCATTGCAGTTTTTGCCGCAGTGATAATAAACGTACGTACGAATGCAAAAGTATATTTGGTCTTTGACTTCGGAAATTGTACATAGTTTAAAAAAAATAGATAGCCTTATACTGTTAAATGATTTCTATTTATTAATGATCTGCAGAATTTACATTTCTTTTCGAAAACACATATCACTCGAAATCTTTATTTTTAAATTAGTTCTGAGTGCAAAAGTTTCGAACAAGTGCTTCATAGAAGTTTTTTTTTTTAGAACTGTAGATGGGTACGATTAATTTTTTTTAAAATAGAGTATTTTAAAATCGAAAAACTTTTATATTATAACGTTATTTTTTGTCAACTTTAAAATTTTTAACATTGCACAAGTAACTACTTTTGTCAACCTGTAATTTTACCGATAAACCATCTTCTGATCCTAATTAAAAAAAAAAAAAAAAAAGTCCTTGCGAATTCTTCGCAGATACTATGCATTCCTAAAATAATGTTTTACTGTTCTAATCATACGAAAATAAGCCAATAAAGTAATATTGATTGTAACATGTGAATTACTTTCAATAATTATTGCCTATAACTAAATAGATTACATAACAAATCGTAAAGAGATTATAAATATATTAGGCTCAAACGAAACAACTACGCTCTAATGAACGATTAAAAGTAGCAAAAATAGATCGAATGAGTAAACACCGGAGAACATACAATTCATTATAAAAAATAATAAATACAAAGTACCGAAATCCTGGAGTAAGAAATACTAAAGTTCAGGAGGAAATGCGAGACGAGTCAATTGAGAAATCAATTGAAGAAGTGAAGGAAGTTCCGCTTGAAATTGACGAAACGATGATAATTCTATTTCTAAAGAAGAAACTTTTACTTCTAAAGAAGAAACTTTATCCTTAAGTGCCTGAATCTCTTCAATAAGTCTTTGACGAGAAATTGGACGCGAAGGATCTACAAAAATGATGCTTAAAGCATTGTTGTTCGTAGACATTTTATTTGATAGATTATGGAAACGGCTTAAATGTAAATTTAACAAACGATCCTAATCAGTATAGCATGGCGGGCTTTATTGTGATTGGTTGATTTTGAAGATCATCTCATCATATTAAAGTCTTATTAAAAGTAACGATTTGCTGTCACAAGAATGGATTCGGTGTCACGAATACGAATTCGGCAAGGGTAAGGTAAAAAAATTTCGAAAGCTTAAGCTTCACTTTATGTACTGTCAAAGTAA